CGATTGTTGCATTGCCGTGAAGACCGTCCATACCGTTATGAGGGAAACTTGTGCCTGGTGTACCAGAATGGCCATTCAACCCATCCAGGCCTGCAACTTGCTTGTGTGTCTGGATAAATGGACTGCTGTCGCATCCAGTGCAGTGTCCCTCCCCGCCATGACATCTGCACACAGGACTCAACTCCGGACCGTGTACTTCCTGCAGTCTTGTTGCAGCCTGGGCCATCAACTGGGCTGCGCCAGCACGAGTCACCATCTGAGTGCCGGGTCGTACGAGCGCTAGAGTGCTATACCGATAAGGCAGCACATGTCAGAAATAGCCTCTCAGGAGTGCTCTAGAGGCTTACCGGCCCATTTCCACTATTGATTTGTAACGAACTACGTTGTTGGAGTTAGTGGTTGTGTCACCTCCGAGGCAGCGCGCGGTACAGCTGTAAACATAGCCATCGCATTGTTTCCTGTGTCGTCGTAGTTAATATTTCTCTTCATGTTATATCGGGCGGTAGACATACCATTCATATCCCTTCCCCCCTTTTCCTCCCCTTCCGCCACGGCCCGGCTGACCATGTTTACCGGGTTGACCGCCTTTTCCTCCAGAAAGATCCCACTTGACTGCCATGAGAAGATGCGCCTGATCTTCGTCCACAAATATCTCTATGGTACCGCCATCTCCGCCATCTCCGCCATTGCCGCCTTGTCCAGCACTGCCTGGGTGATTAGCTATTTGCCGTAATCGTAAAATATTAAGGATAACGAACTTGCCGCCATTACCTCCATCAGAGCCTGACTTTCTTATTATCAGCTGAGAATAAAGCAGCAGTATACGGATTATGCGTTCGTACCGTAGCCTCTGAAGTCTCTGATGCATCCATTCCATTGACCCCGTCCCGCCCATCAACTCCGTCTTCACCATTCATACCATCTTCGCCATTGCCACCAATTGCGGTGAGGAGCAAATCTCGGCCTACTGGAACATCAATGGGCGAAGGAAGCTCGTGCGAGCTCTGAGATGCAAGAACTATTGCACGTATGCCACCTTTTATTACGGGAGATTCGACAATCTGCACTGAAAGATGGCCGGCAGCTGATCCAGGTATTGACCGTTGGGCGTCTTTTCCGGGACGCCCGAGGCGTGCGTACTCTACGCTCTACGTATAGTCAGAGTACTATATTCAAACCCAATCCCCCCTCCGCACCACATCGATGGAAAGGGGTCTGCTATGGTAGCAAAATTCTACTGTGTAGTCACAGCGCCCGGATCCATGACATACCTGATCATAGAGCTGTAATTGACGATCGTCATAAGTCCAAGGATCCCGTAGCCCGGTGCTCTGAGCTATAAGTCTTCCGTCTTGGCCATCAACTGAGAGTTTTACATTCATCTTTAGCTTTAGCACAAACTATGGGGATGCATGATTCGCGAGAATAGGAAGAGGACTGTGTTCTGGTGGATTCATGTTCACTCTTCTAGGTTATGGTTGCATTGATAGGTATTTATCTGTCATCGCCCAACCAACGTTGCGTTGTATTAAAGAGGTCATATTCCAGAGGCACCCAATTCAGCTTTGCAAGATTCTCTGAACCGCCGAGAGCCTTATTTTATTGATTGGCCCCACGTAAGAGTTCCTCTGTGCAGTGCTTATTCTTGCAACGCCACAATCATATACAGATGCATTCTGCCAGGCAGCAGTCCCAATAGCATTGGCTTGTGCGATAAAGAGGGTAGTATGCATACCGCATACCGTTGCATGACCGATTCCTGACCGACTCCTGGCAGGACCCTTGTTTTTCCACTTCACCCGCTACCCCTGAACCAGCAGGGACTCTTTGATAGCATATTCCAAAACTATCCAGGATCGTAAAGGTATACAGAAAATCAGCCTCTATTATACAAAACGGCAAATAGACTCGTAGACAAAAATCTATATGCTAATAATCGAGTACAGGGGAGCTCATCATGTGACCACTCGCACTCTTGCTTTGGAGATCTTTCGGGCACTGGAGATATGACCAATAGGATTCTTGAGCCTATCAAAGGTCTTTTATGCAGCAGTATACGATATAACACCCAACCAGGCTGACAGCCCTATATTTAGAGTGGTGGTCAGGCTTTATTCGATCCCTGGGCAGTGGTCTGGATAGTGCATCTCTGGTAATTCCATGTGTACCCCGCAGCTTGACTTCTACCTCTGATGCCAACACTCCATTCAGCTCCCTGAGACACTTGCTAGGTGAGAGTTGCACTATGATATAAGTTTTCATAATACATCTACCCACCTCATTATGGAGGTCAAATGCCAAGTTATCCGCCCGAAAGACGCACGCCAGTATCGGCAGCGGAGTGTTTCGCTGCTCCCATGGTCTGATCCAACGCCATGCTCGGTCGCTAGTAGATCTGTCGAGTATCCTGAAGCTTCTGCTGCCCAGCGGCCCCCACGAGAGCTAGTATTATCTCTGAATACATATGAGAGACTTGCAGCGGCGCAACGGGCACAGGATGAATTGACAGATTATGTAAGAGCAGAAGCTCTGGTGATGAGAGAGCGCCAGTATGAAGAGTTGAGAGCATTTCGGCAGTTTCGCGAGTCGGTTGCGAGAGAAAACCGAGAGCGAGAAGAAACTCTACGTCAGCAGCAGCTAGATCATTTCGAGCTAATAATGTTGGAGTTTGAGACTCGTCGAGCAATAGAAGAAGAAGAAAGAATTGCCGACGAAGTACGAAGAGAAGCTATAAGAGATTCGGTAAGAGAGTCCATGACTCGAATGAGAGATGAAGCAGCGCGGCAAAGACAAGTAGAGCAGGATAAAATACTCGCCGAACATATAGAGGCAGAGGCTAGAATTGAAGAGGCACAAATACAGGCCCAGGAGGAGGCAGAAGAGAGAGAATGGATCCGTCGGGAACGTCTCAGAGAATGTGCAGTCTGCATGGAAGAGGACGATATGGGTTCCATGACCCAGGTACCCTGCACGCACTGGTATTGCTACGAAGATCTTCAAAGTAAGTTCTCTCACATCTCCTCATTATGCAGAATAGAGCGCTGCTTAAATTAACTCAAAAAAAAAAAACAAGCCGCTTTCCAGAATGCCCTAGATGGCCGTCAGCCATTTCGTTGCTGTCGTCAAGAGATTCCAGTAGATCTATGCCCTACCGCAACAGAGGACTTCCGGGAGAGATATAGACTCATGATCTTGGAATTGACAACGCCAAACCCCGTCTATTGCTCAAATAGGGCCTGCGGGGTCTTTGTGCCGCCGGCACAGTACCAAGGACCGGACATAGCGGCTTGTCGCGCGTGCCGGTCTACGACATGCAGAATATGTCGGAATGCCGCTCACGTCGGGATCTGCCCAGAAGACGTCGGCATGCAGCAAACAGTCTCTCTCGCAACAAGGAATGGTTGGAGATCATGCCCTAGTTGCAATAACATGGTCGAGAAGAGATCAGGGTGTAATCACATGACATGTAGATGCGGCGGACAGTTTTGCTATGTCTGTGGTGGCGTCTGGGGAGCCTGTCGAGAGCATTTATAACAACTTTTGAAAGATCATAGCGGGCACTTGTAATGAGATTCTGTCATGGCCAGGACACATACAACCATGGTATTTCTGTCGTTAAGGAGCGCTTTGATAGAACTAGGAAGTTGAAGGATATACTTGGCAGAGAAGCCACAAGCGTCTTACTTTACCATATGAGGTTCCGGGCTCGCTTCCGGGCTCGCAGTATCAGGAGGTTTGGTTAGCATTCAAAAAATCTCCAGCTAAGAGCAAAAGGAAATGAAAATGAATTCCACGTTAAATTTTTTTTATAATACTAAAAAGACCGCTTGGGTTCAGGGCAAATAAAGCCTTCGTTTTTAAGGAACTATCTATCCCGGTTAGGAGGATGGATACTATATTTAGCTGGCTAGCCTACACTAGAGCCCCTCCCATTACAATATAACCTCTTTTCCCCCTTCACCCTTGGGATTACCTGTGACTTAGCCTTGGCGGTCTTTATACGGGGTATTGATATCCAGTAAAATGCTAAAAGAGCATGGACATCTCGTGGTTTTCTCAGCTGCGTCCGGAGTTCTTGTCCAAAACAACTCTAGTAATTGCTTAGTGACCGCAGATTCATGAAGCCAAAGAATGACATCACATTTGTCAACGAAACTTAGGGATTCGCTGGCGGTCATAGGAGTTCAATTGAGTCTTTGCATTGAAAACCGTGCAGGGGCAAGTTGTCTTGGATAGATAAGTATTGATAAGATGACGTCTTCCGTTACACAGGGATACACCAAATACCGTTTAGAGATAGATTAATTGCCGCTCTTACGTACGTATAGTAGGTAGTACCTGTGTTGCGGGGTATGCTACTTGAAGACCGTTTCGTCGACCGCCGTTGCAAAACGTACTCTTGATAGAATCCGTTTTCATTCGGTATTAGATTGTACCTTCCGTCAGAACACTGAAAACCCACGTAGCTTAATCTCCAAGGGATGTTGCTTTTTGGTTTACAAGTGCACGCTAAACAGCCTTGCTGGCATCAACGACCTGGAAGAATACGCGCACACCATTTGGCTGGAAGATTAGAGCATTTCAGGCTTCTGGGTCTTCTTTCTTATGACAGCCCTACTCAGTAGTGCAAATAGTATGGCGCGCAGTAAAAATTATTTGATCACTTGGCAGAACTACTTTTACCTACACTAAACTCCTTTAATAGTCTCCAAATACGGGGTAATTCGTCATGTGACACTCTATCGATAAATATAATTTGTACGAAGTATGCTGAAAGGCTTCTCAACTGGTTGCCAAGCCATTTCACGTGATGAAGTACCCCACAGTTCAAGACTATTAAAAGGATTTAGCGCAGGTAAAAGTGGTTCCGCCAAGTGATCAAATTCCCAAAACTATACGGTAGCTCAGGTCATTCAGCTTGCGGGGGTGCGGGTGAATATCAAGGTCTAGAACACCTAGAACCCCACAAGGGTTGGCACAAGGACCTATGCTAACTTAAAGAGGACTAAGTGCAGTGGTGCACGCCCCCAAGCCATTGGACGCCGCCGAGGGTACTGCGAAGGCCTCAGTTCGATTCTGAGAGTCCTCAATCATCTGTGCTCATTTTTATCTTGATAGCAAGATGACAAAGTACACATAACAATAATTTATGACAAAAATACAAAACATATAACATTTACCATAGCAAACATATCATTATTCTTGTGATAATTCTCCCTAGTGCTATTTAACTAGGTTGTAAGTAATATTTTAAGATAGCCAGTATTCTTATGAATATTAGATTAAATACGTGATCCTTCCTAGGAGCAAAGCCTACTCATCCTTCCTTTACAAAAAGGCTCCTGTCTTAATTCTTTTCAGAGGTTAGAATTATTTCTGACTCCTAGACGCTTGATTTAATTTGTTACATATTATTCCAGTGTGTTAAGATCTTGATACAATGACTCATAATGACTGACTGAGCCTCAGTCACTGAGGCGAGAGCCACTCACAAATTTAAGACCATTGTGTATCAGGAAGGCGAGGAGATAGTAAACAATTTCTATACGAGTACCACCGCCTAATTGTCTCTACTTCAAACCCATAAAGTGACTAGGCTTAAAGTGCCTTGCTTACAGCAAACTACACCGCCACGCTTTCAACTTCGTTTAGCAACGACACAAACACACTAAAATTATCGAAAGAGCCAATCCATTGCGTGTTCATGTCTCGGAGGAGTAGTTAATGGCTCATCGTCCCCTTTTCCCACCCAGCACTCTGTGGAGGCTTGGAAGTCACTAGTCTCTTCCTCGTATAGAAAAAGGCCCTTTTCTAAGATACGTGGTTTTGACCAGGGGCATCGACTCGGAACGTGCAAAAAGTATGCGATCCCTGGTATTACTGGAAAAGAGTTAATGGTCTCATATGTCAAACAAGGACCCGGCCAACCATCTTCGATGGTGTGGTGTTTGCAAGCTTTTAGCCTCCGGTAGCTGTCATTCCCTGTCAGAGGTGTTTGTCTTTAGAGTGAAAGAAACTAAGACATTCTATTAGAAAATACTAGACTGTCTCTACATTAGGGGCCCCTTCTAGCCCACTGCAACCCTAGCCCCTGACGTACCCATCCAAGGGTGAGATAATACGGAGCTCTCTAAAATCTACTTTGAAAGAATTCGCCTCGCCTCGCCTCGTCTCGTATTGGATTTAGAGTATTCTAATCAAAGACTTCATATTGTTAGAGAACAATGTACCCGAAGTTGGTCTACTAGGATTGGAATATGGCTAGATTAACCTCCTAAATCATGATTAAGTGCTATTCATAGTTGTATACATATGGATGGTCTATACTTCCGCCTGGTGACTTTTTAGCTCTACTAGAGACCTTACTTTGGCAGCGTTCATTATCCTACAACTACATACGCTGTCTAAATCACTCCTAATGAGGTATTCGTGTCAGCCGTCTTACTATAACCAGTAAATAAAATGTTTGGGAAATGTAATAAGTTCAAGTGGATCTGTAGATATCAGACGCAGTCAGATCTGACATTTGATCATGAGAGAGTGACAGATGAAAATTTATTGAGAGAATTGTGTCTTAGACTTCTTATACGATACTTGGCCTAGCCTAAGAAAATGGCATTTCCTGTGTTGAAATCATCGTGAACACTAACGTTGTAATAGTTAAATCCTTGGATAGAGCTCACGGCCTGAGCTAAGTTGATGGCCTGAGACTTCTATTTTCTTGGAGCGAGTGCCTGTGCATATACCCACAAACCTACTTACTTAGTCTTCTTATACATTGACTACATTTCGAAGAATTCTGATCAAGATTTTGGCTCACTTTGTCGACTATTGCCAAATTAGTGCATCATAGACTAGTACTCCATGAAAAAGGCCGTGATCTGTACCTAGAAAAATTGTTACCTGTAATGACTGTGGGTTAAATTGACGAGGAATAAACTAACTCACTAGTCAAAACTCAAGAATCAAGACCTTTACACGAGAATTGGACCGATGAACACACATTGAAGCTAGGCATAATTGAGTGACTGATTTTCTGTCTAGTTATCTTGAGTTGGCGGTGAAAAAGAAAAAAAAAATTTAGAAGTGCATGCCACTTTGAAAGATTGAGAGTGAATGTAAAAAGATTCTACACTTTCTCCAAGATCCTGACAGGCGGAGGTGCAGGCCCCGCTAACTTAGATGGAGGAAATGGGGGCTGAGCAAAATGGAAGAAGCAAATACGCCTTGGTGTTTTCACTAACTTTTTGGTTTCGCCAAGCGCTGGCTAGAATAGGAGTGTAAAGGGCACAGAGATCGAACGAACTTTATATCAGCCTCCATTAGTGTGATTTAATCAGATTAGTTAGGTAGGTAAATAGGTGGGTTGCTTGTAGTGTGTCAGTTTGAACCCAACCCACAGCCTTTGGCAATAATAACCGCAGAGACTCAGTTGACTCACTTGACTCACATTTAATTGTTGATATTAATAAGTTCAGGAACCTTCAGCATCAAGTTGGATATTGTACAGTCAACTTGAAGATATGTATGGTGAACCATCATGGACGCAATCAGAGATGTCGGCGGGGACCGGCTTCGGGTTTACTATCAGTGTTATAGAAAAGTCACGATGCCATTGGTACGGTTGTGATGTAGGTGGACGCCGAGTCAGCCCAACACGTACGCCGTAAAGGAGATAAGAAGAATGTCTAGTGGTGGTGGAAGTGTGCCGATACGCGCCCTTAAAAGCAAGGGGTATTAGCCATAGTATACATGCTCCAATACATGCCCCAATGCCCGAAAGACCATGCGCCCCATCTCTAGCCACCTAGCCCACCAAGCCATGCATGACAAGCCCCTCAGCCCCTCCACTACTAGGTACCTAGCTACGCAGGTAGGTCGAAGGTGGGGTTGACGGGTCGGTACAGCACCTACAATGGCCAGAGCCTTACCTTACCTACCTCAGGCTTGTAAGGCAAATCGGCTGGGGGAGAAAGAAGGGTACCTTGGTTGCTACAGATGGCACACAGCCTGCTTGCTAAGTAAGACGCTAACCACTGGCAGATGGCTCAGGCACCTCGATGCACTCCGGGCAAGTTCCTTTCTAGTCATTCCATCCCACTTTGTGTTTGTCTCATGCCATGTCATCGTCTTCGTCAAATGACCCGGCCATCAACTGCTCTGCGGCTCGATTTTGCCTGTGACTATTAAGATCGGTAGGTATTTAAGCGCCCCGGGTAGTTGCTGGCCATCAAAGAATCCTGATGCCGGCTTTCTCTTTGTTTGCGCACGCTGATCCCTGCTCCATAGCCACGCATTCATCTCATCCCTTTGCTCATCGCTCATCGCTCATTATCCCTTGCTTCATTCTGTAGAACCTCATTTCCGCCCTTACAAGTCCTTCGCTAGGGTTAAGCAAACATTCTCAGCTCATCACATCGCACCACTGCGCTGCGGCAACAGCACGCGCGTGCGTGATTGTTTCCCGGACATAAGAGGCCCCCTCGACACAGCGCTATGGGTACGTTCTGCAGTATAAATAAGGGCGCCGAGTCCGACGAGCCTGACAAAGACTCGGAAGACTCTCCATCCCACATCTCCCATGCAATATCTTCACAACGGCTCAAGATGACGGACAATAACACACGGGGCCAACACTCTCGACACGGCAAGTCTGCCCGGCAGTTCAGGTTTAAGTTCCAGAATGACATAGCAGCCGGCGCAGATGCCGGCGCAGATCAAACTGAAGCAGAAGCCAACAGAGTCATTGCGCACATGAGGAAGCAAGACGAGGCCTTATTCACGGCACAGTCTCTCTCGCCCAGCCAACATTTCCTCCATGTCCGCGATGTCCTCAAGGACACCCGGCTATTTCAGGTTGCACGGATGGTGCCTAAAGGCGCTCATCTACACCTCCACTTCAATTCTACGCTTCTGCCCGGAGTCCTTCTCGGTTACGCCAGAGATATGACCAACATGTACATCTGGAGTGACCATCAACTCCTCGAGGACAGTGATTTCAAAAACTGTAATCTCGAGTTTAGCCTACGCAACCTCGAGCAGGTTCGCAAGGACATGCACTCGAAAGCCGCCGAATCGGGTGACAGTTCAATGCTAGAGAAGCTTGCACATGCCGAGAGTCTATCCGATGCAGCCGCCAAAACCCGCGCGTACGATATGCTAGGTCCGGATATCTTTAGCGCGACCTATAAGAACGGCAGGAGGGACAAAGGCCAGCAAGTCGAGGAAATGCGCTATCAGTATTTCCGGGAACGCTGGGATGAGAAGGCTCAGGGTAATTGCGATGAATGGCTTATCCGCAAGCTCACCTTCAGGAAAGAGGAAGTAGATGAATTCTTCACAGAAGTAGACGATGAAGAGCTTGAATCGGAACCAGAAGCAGAACGATCTGTCTCCGTACAACTCGCTTCAAACGGAGCGAAGTCCCAAGAGTTTGATGAACAGCGATGGGTCATAGAAACCAGAAGAAAAATTTCAGAAAGCGACTATAAACATAACCGCATTAGTGCACGCAGGTGAGATACATCTCCGACAACATCAATGAGCAGAGCTGACTATCCTTAGAGCATGGACAGAGTTCAATGCGCGCACTAAAATGATGAAAGGATTGTTTAATTACGAGACGGCTTTCCGACAATATACGGGAAAATGTTTCGAAGGGTTCGTTGAAGACAACGTCCAATATGCTGAGATTCGGCCGAACTTCATGCAAACAAATCAGATTCTCAATGACAGCGCTGAAACAAAAATCGACAACTTTGGCACGATGAAGTGTATTATTGAAGAATATGAAAAATTCATGAAACATATTGGGGACATGAGCGCGGATGGGCAGATAATTGACAACCCACAGCATCGGCCAACTTTTAGCGGAATCAAGGTTATCTATTGCACACCACGCTCCTTCTCAAGGGAGGCTGTCAAGAAGGCCTTAGATGAGTGTATTGAAATGAAGAAGAAATGGCCAGAGTATATTGCGGGCTTTGATCTCGTAGGCGAGGAAGCCTTTGAGATGTTGCACCCTCTGAGATTCTTCGAGCAGGAGTTCCGAGATTTCCAGACACGATGCGAGGAAGAGAAACTTGAAAT